TTGCATCTTAGAAGCACCCTTCTATTCCCCCCCCCTCTCGACTTTTTTTTCACTTTGATGTTCCTCCTCTCTATGAAGCCCAAAGTCAACTAAAGAGCTAATGATAACTATCAAGACGCCTGCCATTTGATATAAATAAATAAATACATTCCCGTTTAGTGTACACGTTGGAAAAAACGAGGAGGGCAAACCAAATATGGCTACGCGATAACCGTGACAAAATTAGAATTCATTTACAGGTCGTCAGAGATTTGAAGGCATTTGGTACTCAGCTTCACAAGAAATTCGTTTAACTTGATTTTGCACCCCAGAGTTTTCTCTGTTCATGGCACTAACTCGCTTAATGCCCACACTTTCTACATTCCTTAACAATATCATCTAATGTGCTTTTATCAATTTCCTCGGGTATTTTGGCGATTTGAAAACTCGACATCGGTTTAACTAACTTAATCATTGTCTTGAAGAGAGCAAGACATTTGGGAATAGTATCGATGTTTGGAAAACTTTTCGACCAACAATTCAGGTAGGAAATAGAGGGAAAATTCAGGAAAATTTCTTGCATGACATAACCGAGTTTATTTATTTAATTCTCAATTTTAACTAGGCAATGTAATTTACTTTCAATTGTCTTAGAAATTATTAAAACTCTTCAATTAAAAAGGGATCTTTAGGTGGTAAAAATGCCATTGACCGAAAAATATGGTCGAATAGACAGGTTGCTCAATACTGAAAGCTTGAATAGATCACTGTAAATGCCCGCGAATAACATATTGATATGAACTGAGTGCATGCAAAGGTTAAAAGGTCATTATATTACATTTCCTTGAACTTTATAAATCGCGTAAACAGAGGGGAATGCCTAAAAGACAGTTGTGCGCCTAGAGAATTCCAAACAGAAGACTCTAAAGGCATACCAAATTGTAGGTTAAGAGTTGGAAGGGCGATTGGGTGTTTATGACACGATTCTACTGGTTAAAATATAAAATATTAGGGAGTTCAAATGCGTCACGTGATCACGTTACTTTCATTTATGGAGGAAAATAGGGCAAATCGGATGAATTAAAAGAGAGGTCAGTCTGGCCTTTCTCCTATTTTTACCCATTTATTCCCTTATGTGATCTAAGGTTACTTGATCAAATGATACTCTGCTAATTTCTTCAATAACCATATATGGTAGAGGAATGACGACCTTTTTTCAATGTGCTTAAAAATGTACACACCAAAACTGGTGATCGCGATATATACTCCCTAGCAATAGAGATAACTTTTACTATTAAGTTCCAAGATCGCTTAAGTAATTAAAACATCCCAGTGAGTGGTTCTATAATCTTCCAAGACCGAAGAAAGTGGTGCGTAATTAATTCGAATATCGACATTTATAGCCTATATAATTCGAGGTTTGGAAGAGTTTAATTTTTAAGAGCATGTGCGTAATATATAAGGGTAACAACTATTGATTAAATTTTCTTCCACTTACTCTCTCCAGAAGTCCAAGAGTCTGCTTCAGAGCTCCTTCGGGACGTCCGAATGGGAAGTAATAGCGAAATTCTGTGATCTGTTTCTCTAGAAGAGCAGACAGCCTCGTTCGAATATCATAGAACATCTCCCTTTCATCAACGAGTACTGTTCGAATTGAGCTCTCTTGTCTACCAAGTGAACAAAATGTGCATTCTATTAGCCAATCAAATTTTTAGAGATAAGCATATTTTATTGAATATCGAATTACTCGCTGACCGTTTAAACAATTTTAATTTATAACCCAAAATTCGGAATAACGATTATTTGTTAGTTAATTAAAATGTCTTACGAACAAGATGAAGATACTAGGCCACCTTTAAATATATTTAAAATTGATTTAATAACGGGGTTAGAAAATGACAAACTAGAGCTTTTTATAAATTGCATATCAGCATATTAATCGATTTTTTCCATTATCAGTGGAACCCACTCTTCGAAAAAAGCTAAAATTCATGAATTCATAAAATTATTTACATTTTCAATAAATACCACTTTATGCAGAAGTTTCAGAGATATCTATTTAATTGGTAAACGAAAAAATGTTCATGTATACCAATAAAATAGATTAAACTGAGTAAAAATTAATGTTTAATTAAGTTTTGAGTAAAATTTTATTTAAGAATATCAAGGCCAACCTTTGTGTACTTAGCTAACAAGCTTTCAATTAGTTATCTATATCGTAGCAGAAGATTAATCAACAATTAAGGCTCAAGGTTACAGAGTGCGCATTTTATCACAAAAAGACCGCCGTACATCCAAAAGTTGCCTTTATGCCGTAAGACAGTCATGTCTACCTGGAGATAACCTCATACACTGAACAACATCTGAACAAAATTGTTGTGCTGACCATCAGCCTTCAAGCGTTTGATGATGTTCTTAGTTATTTCTTAGGAAAAAAAACATAGACTGAAATTATCGATAAGATGTTTTTTTCCCAAACGAATATGTTAAGCAGCACGACTTATAACAAAAGTGTGTTCTAACCATTCATTTAAAATTGACTAAGGCAACAAAGCTCGTGGTTGTGAATTATATTCAAACCTGACAATGACAGTGGAATGTGGCACACATGCAGCGGCTTTAATAGGGTGAAAGTTAATGAGAAGCCAAAAGGTGAGAAAAAATGTACCTAAAGAAAAAAATATAGGTAGAGCATGAGCCACAAGAATTAATTGTCAAATAGGAGGGAGGGGGCGAGAGAGAGAGAGTGAAAGCAAGCTATTAATAGTATGTTTTTTTTTAATTTTGCAACTCAAGTTGGCTAATTTATGCTCAACTCTAGCATTTAATTAATAGGCTAACATGATTGAGGCTACATCTCCAGTAAAATAAATTGTTGCAGAATTTAAACAAGTACAGCCATGGACATAACAGGTAGTGCAAAATAAGTCTCTTTGCTTATGACTGCTTTTAAAAAAACAATGATTTCCTCATCTCATGTTTTGAGTGACTTTCTATGGTGCCAGTCAGAAAAGTGAAAATCTAAAAGGGGAGTGAATTGTGGGTACACTGAAAATTCAACAAATACCATTTGACGTTGAAATGCTTAACAAAGCAGTGACTTGTGCCTCCAATGTTTTACTTTAAATTGCCGGATTGCTTCAAAATTATCCTGTGGCCTTCAAAATTACGACTTTATAACTAAGTTGTCTTTAGGGGCTATCAAACAAGTCTTGGAAATGTGGAAAGCTCATTTTATTTGGACCGCAAAAAAGGTGGTTAGTAATAGTTGGGCATAAAATTAAGTAGATATTTGAGGTGGCCAAAAAATCCTCCAATGGTAGCAGTCCACACATTCAGCAACAGATATGAAGACAAATTGATTACGCTGTGCTACCTTCTATGCTCCTAGGAGCGCGAGGTTGATTGACCTAGTATGGTCACGAACTTATACTCCTTCTACTCATGCCTCCTCCTGGTTCTGTGAGTACAAAATCGCACTTAAAATAACTATATTCGATTTTGATAATTAACTATTCACGTTATCCGCTTCAGTACCCACAATTCCATTTTCTTGCTTCCAAGAAAGTTATCGTGTATTTTTTATCTTAAATTTCAATACTTGATTCTTCAATTCCCATAAAAATGGCCCATTTTTCTAGCATATTTGAAGTGTGTGTGCAGCTTTTCACAATAAAAAATTGGCTCGATCGTTCACTCTGTTAGCTATTCACAAGAACAGCGTGAAATCGCCATTGCAACTCATAAATTATTCGCTTCAAACAAGGAATATTTATTTGTTTTACCAAGTATTTCAGCTTTCTACAGAGCATTATGACATTCGCTATGGCACAAAGTAATAGAGAATCCGTACTTTTGGTAGTAATATCAAAGTACCTCGAACGAATTAGATAGTTGAACTCAAATCAATGCATGAACTATACTGATCTGTTGAAGTAGAAAAGACAGTAAAATTTCTCAATGATTTAAATGCGAGTAAAAATGTATATCTTCGCAAAAAAATTATATTATAAAAATTACTTCGCAGGGTTACCGACCCTAGGGAAAGTATAATTAAGATAGATGCTGCTGTTGAATTATAAATGAAATCTAGAAGTAGAATAAAGTACAATATGGATTTGCAAAACAAGAAACGCAAAAGAGGAAGAGGAAGAATAGCACAAAAAATGTTGATTTTGCTAAAATTTAAACAACTTTCAGGATTAAAATCACTGCTAAATTCTCGCAACTTTGATGGAAATGATAAATCGTTGCTTACAATTGTAAGGAGTTAGAGTATTAATATTGAGGTTGCTATAGCTTCAATTTCTCTGTGACCTTGAAATGCTAGAACAATATGCTCCCGTATTGAAAGTGGAAAGCAACTGAATACGTCAATTTCAAATATTTAGAGACAGCTGATTTAGCTTGCGAGATTATAAACCGAAGTTTATTTTCTCGGATATGCTCTGAGTACGATTTACTGACGACAGAAAGATGGAGCAATTTTTGATCTAATACATTGATTTAATTAAAATAAAAGGAAAAATTCTGAATCCCAACCTCTGGCTAATAAACTTACGCGCTACCAAAAATATGTCTTGCACAAAATGCATATGAATAATGTACAAGAGCCGGATCAATCATAACACCCTTCTCAGTTCTATCAAGAAGGTCAGCTAGATAGCAGAGATGTCGATGGCATCCACGAACACCATATCGAGCACAGTACTCATCCAATACGAGGATCTGAGAGGGTGAAAACCAACCGAGGGAGACAAATTGATCTTGCATGCGGAATTCAAGACAGGAGGATTGAAGGAGACGAAAGTGATCTGCATGCGACTTTCGCCAAGGTTCCACACTTACAAACTTCTCCATGCCGTGCTTTCGAGCGAGATCGACGCCTAAAATCCAAAGTGAGACCAAAGTAAATTATAACAAATATAAATCCCAAAACCTTTGGTCTTTATGCTGAAGACACTTGCATCCAGAAATTAAATTTTCAGCTTTAGATTAACTGAATGGATCAAAAAGTTTATTTTCAAAATCATGCGACACAAACGCGCGTCTTTAATGTAAGTATGAACGGAAAATCTATCGACTTACCCCCCTCCCCCCTCCTCCACCTTAGTTCACTGAAGGCAAGTGGAGCTATTAAACTCGCCACTTATTAGAGAAGCCCTTGCCAGGGAGGTACAATAGATCGATGAGAAACAAGGGCTCAAAATATATTCAATTATAGGGAAACAGTGGTGGAGATGGAACTGGCCATTCTAGAAAGATGGCTGCTTCGTAATAATCTCTTCTATATCCAATTGTTTTCCCTCCTTACTATTTCTTCAGACCTCACCTTGTTCGAGGCTTATCTGGCTGGTCCCTCACATTCATTAATAGTGGTTCCTTCTGTTTCTGACCTATTCTTCACACTACAATAAACCATATTCGTTCATTCTTAGTCACTTCATCATATCTCATTATCTGAAATATCTGCGAAGTCAAAAAGTATATTCATCTTTTTTTTTTCTTCGTGAAAGATGTTAAACGCCAGTTGTGGTGAGTAATTCATTAAGATGTGAAGGGTAGGAAGTGAGTGAAGGTTGAGAAAAGTGTCAGAGCATCAAACGTTCCATATTTCATTTGAAATTAGAACTTTGCAGTGTCAATCTATGCATTGATATATTTATATATCTAAAAGTGGGTTGTGGGATAGACTTACCTCTTCGTGGTGTACCCTGGGCAACGTATACACATACGGCAAAAA